CGTGGTGGTTAAAGGTGCTGGACTCCCACATGGCTGACCACGGTTTGAGTCCTAGACCTGGTGGCTTGGTCACCCTTTCTCACTTTCCTTTCTCTCTCTACGTCTGGTCAAAAATTTAAAAATAAATAACAAATAGAAATAAATAAATCTTTTAAATTTTTTTAAAAAGATTTATTTATTTATTTACTTACGTATTTTAATTTTTCCGGGGGTGGGGGGAGAGAAAGAGAGCAAAGGATCATGAGAAAGGAAGCTGTCGGGTCAGGGACTCGAACCACGGTTGGTCCAGCCCCCTTAACCTCTATGCCACCTGCTGGCCCCAATAAATAAATCTTAAAAAAAAAAAAAAAGTTAAAAGTAGTTTCTGGGGATGACAAGTCAAAGGGGAGACATCCCCAGCAAATGCGATGTGGCTCCGAGCTGTGAAGTGTGCATGCCACACGCACCAAAACACTGTTCTGGGTAAGCGGCCTCATCTTCTGTCCCTAGCTGTTCAAAGCCCGAGGGGCCAGCTCACATGAGAGATGATGTCACCCGGAGGCTGGGCACACGAGCAGACTTGGTGCCGGGCCGGCCCACCGCGGTGCAGGGGGTGGTTCGCTTTCAGCATGAGCGCCTCTCGGGCACTGTGCACACTTCCCTGTAATGCTGATGGAGCTGTGCTAGGTCGGGTGTGACCAGCCTTTCCCACTGACTTAACCACGACCTTCCTTTTAAAATCCATTCGTTGCCTGCATCAATTATCTCTGCTTATTGCTGCTCACTCCTCCATTCCTACCCAGCCCTTCTACTCTCAACGATGTCCTCCACATTCCCAGAAACAAAAATACCCCAGCAGGTGCCACTAAGCCTGTCTGTGCATCTGCCCTGGGCCTCCTCTTCAGGATGAACTGGGGCTCCTCTCCCACTGGGCAGAGAGATCTCTTCCCTTTGCATCCATTCTCCCCTCTTCCTTCTCGCTCAGCACTGGACACACCCCATGCCTGGTGCTCAGTGACACTGTACCCCGGACCAACCTTCCAGCTAAGAGGTTCAGGGCTACTGTCCGCTCCCCCGTGGCACAGCCCAGGGTGCTTTACCCGCATCCCCTGTGATCAGCGTGTGGGCATCTGTTCTGATTCCAGCTCCGGTTTGAATCATCCGGTCACCATCTCCACCACAACGCCTAGCAGGGCCGCACAACCCAGGAACTCAAAACAGAAACGGTAGTCTACTTCTAGGACTTTTCTTTCAATCGAAATCAAAACATAACCTGTACAGTGCAACTCACACTTCACAGACATTGTTTATTTCTGCGTCGGCCACACATCAGAAACACCTGTGGAGCTTTAAAGCGACCAGTGAGTGGGTTTCACCCTAGACCAAGTAAGCTAGAATCTCTAAGACTGACACCCCATCAATGCTCCCGCCCCCCACACGCTCTCCACCCAGCTCCCAGCAATTCTAACAAATGCCAGGGCCGGAGACAGTCATGAATCCGATAAAGAAATGCAGGCATCTGTAAACGAACACCAACTAGAACAGGATGGTCTGCTCTTTCCCAAAGATGCCGTTTCTTCTCTCCTTCCGACCCTCATGACCACTGGAGGAGGGTGAGGAGGGGTGCTGGCGCTGTCACGGGGGGCCGGGGTGTGGCATGGGGCAGGGCACACTGCCGCACTGGACCTGAGAACCAGAACCACCGAGGGTCATGGCTCCACCCAGTTAGGTCAAGGCCCAACAACTGTGCCAGGGCTCACTCACTCGCGGCCCAGGCATGCCATGGGGTGTCAGGAAACCTCCGAAATGCTACCTAGGAAGGTATGAGCAAACACTGGGAACACTCAGAAGGAGGCTAACATGAGTAAGAAATGCGAAGATGTTTCTTTTAAGAGGTCACAGAAACGGTAATTGGTAAGGAGCCCGGGCAAGTAAAAGAGTGAAGAGGAGTTGATTTCCCAGATCAAACGTGAAGTGCTAGTACAATGCAGTAAAAGAACAATTTCAAAATAAGCCATCCTCTGATTTTCTGAACAAAAAAGGGACGACAGGTTGGAAAGCCTTTTCTACTAAGAGTGTTTAATGTACTTTTGACTTGGAGAGAATGCTCTAGAAGGACCTGCTTTATTCTCGCTGGCTAGTACGAGGACAGAACACTTCAGAGCAAAAGAGCACTTGCCAGTCAGAAGACCACGAGGGTCCTGGCGACTGTGGGGTGAGAACCAGCACTTTTTCTTGTGATGTAACGCGAAAGGCCTCTCCTACCTGGACCCAGCAGCGGCGACCGGCTCAGCGGGGCACCGGCCTGGGGCGGGGGCGTCTCGACCCTGTGCGTGCTGCCGCCCCCGTTGCCACCGCTGCTGCTGCTGCCGCTGGTGGCCGTGGCACTGCTCTGGATGACTGGGTTGTTCCTGTCCCACATGTTTACAGTTTTATTGTTGTGGGTGCTTGGGTCCCCCCAAGCTGAGGTTCCGTCATCGATCTCCATTTTGCGTCGAATGGATGGCGGAGAGGGCTCTTCCCAGCCAGTGGGCTCGCTGCTGTCCTTGGGCCTGACTGGGACTGGCCCCCCAACCCACCCTGCTCCGGTCTGTTTAACAGAAGCAGCTCCTCCCCAGTTACTCACATTGCTGTCCTGGGGCTTGTTGGCCCAGTTCTGTTGGGGACCAGGTTTTAAAGACTCCCCCCAGTTTGTACCTGGATTAACTTTTGCGCTGGTGCCACTGCCCCAGCCCCCGGTCCCGGATCGTGTGGCATCACTCCAACCAGACCCTGATCTACTACTCTCAGCATCCCATCCAGATCCGTTTTTCTTCCCGTCCCCCAAGTGTCCAAGGACGGCCGAGGAATCTGCCCAGTCTCCCCCCGCTGCACTCCAGGCAGGGTTCGACCTCTGCCCCTCAGCCCAGTTCTGGGATTTGGGCTTCTGAGGCTCTCCCCAGGTGGGCGGCTTGTCGTCTGGATTCCCGGCCCCGCTCCAGGCATGGCCGCCCTTGGCAGCAGCAGCGTTCGTGACGGCAGCAGCGCTCATGGAGTCCCCCCAGGCCCCAGGGCCGCTGGGCCCTTTGCCGCGGCCGTCTCCCCAGCCAGCACTTGCTGGCGTGGCGGCAGGACGCGAGGCCGCGCGGCGAGCGGGCGGCCCGGCCCCCCCCGACACTGAAGAGTCTGCACCGCTCGGGATGGGCCCATCGCTCTTCCCCCCTGAGCTGGAAGGCCGAGTAGCTGCACACCCCCAGGCCTCTGTCCCATTGTCATTTTTCCTTTCGGATCGAGGGGATTCTTCAAATTCCCAGGCAGTGTTTTGCTTCACAGGAGTCTGTCCCCAGCCAGTGTTAGACAGGACTCTGGGGTCAAGGTCGTGCCGTGGCAACTGGATGTGCCCTTGGTCTGCGACCCCTTTCTCTCGCCTGCGGCCTTCGCCCGTCCCTTCCCGCCCGGTGCTTCCTTCATTGTGACTGCCAGACCCATCGCTACTGCCTTCGCTTGCTGCAGTTCCCGAAGACGCAGCTTTGGCCCAAGAGTTCATGTGTTCGCCACCAGGCTGCGCGGCAGGGCTCTGGCTGACACCAGGACCATCCCACCCTGTCGACCCTTTCCCATTGACGTCACTGCTGGAATGCTGGTTGGGGGGCTTGCCCCACTCCCCATTCACACCATTGGAGGTGCTTCGGCTGGGGTGGCCCCGCTCTCCCGAATGGATATTACCGACACCATTGCTGCCACTGCCCCTTCCCCAAGCAAGTATCCCGGGACCAGCCGGAGGCCCCGAATCCCAAGCGTTCCCGCCACCTCCCTCCTTTTGCACAGCGCTGCTGGACCCATTCTGTTTAGCACTTAATGCTGAGTTCACAGTGTCTCCATTCCCCTGATTGAACCCAGAATTGGTATTTCCTGTGGCAGGGTTACCTGGGGACAGTCCCCACACAGAATTGCTCACTCCTTCACCACCACCCCCGCTGACTTGAGAAACTGATGATCCATTAGCACCAGGAAGGCCTTGCAGGTGGGGCGGGATGACGCCCCCCATGCCAACAGCCATGCCCCAGTTCGGCAGTCCGTTGGTCTGCAGTGCACTGATCGGGTTCGGGGGCGAGTTCATGGGGTTAGTGTTATTTGGTCCGTCAGTGTTAAGGTTCTGAGGTTGTACGCTGAAAGACACATTCTGAGGAGCGGGCGTCTGAGCTTCCGTGCTCTCCTGCGGCAGCAAGTTTCCCCAAGCACCTCCACTGCCCGCTGGGCTCCCGTTCTGGCTGCCCATGCTCTGACCGATGGCACTGACTGGGCTGCAAATACTGGACGGGCTGCCTGCGGCCACAGTTCCTTCATGTCCAAGTACAGGCCAGGCAGCGGGGTTGGCATTCGGGTTAAGGTTCAGATTAACGCCAGCGTTGGAGCTGGCAGCCCCCCAGCAGCTCTGGCTTCTCCCATCTCCAATCATGGTGTCCATCTTCCCATCCCCGCCACTGACGGCGCAGCGGGCCAGGCCAGCGCCGGAGCCTGCGGCTACACCCCACACCCTGGCCGCACCGCCGCTCCCGTTCACTCCCGCAGCTCCAAGGGCACTCTGATTAGAAGGGCTTTGGACGAGTGCGCCGCTGGCGCCATTATTGCCGTTCGTCTTCTTGGACTGTCCAGCGAAGCTGCCCTGGGCACCCCCTGTAGCCATGCTACTGTTCTCGGCGCCACCGCTGGAGGCAGAGTCAGTGTCTGTAGTACATTCTGAGGCAGGTTCCGTCTCTGTCCCTGTGATGGACGGCCACGCCTCCTGGTCGGTCCTGTCTATTATCACTTTATCCCAGCCGCAGTTGGCTTCGCTTCGGTAAGTGGGCTGCTGTCCCCAGTGGGGGTTTTCATAATGATCTGCCAATCCACTGTGATTGAGATCTGAAAAGAGGAACGCAATTCGAAATTAGATTTCCTCCCATTTGTCAACGAATCAACTGTTAACTAGTCTTTGGGGAAACTCGTTATTTTTGAGTTTTCAATGCTGAATGTGAAAAAGTGACTTAAAGAAAGCTCCCATTTTAAAAAGCTAATGTTTCTAAAATGACATTAATTTTGCCACTTCATCATACTATTACCCCTCGTGAGAAGGTTCACACAGGCGTCAGCGCAGCCGCGTCTTTGAGAACTGCGTAGTAAAGAAAGCAGCTTGGCCTGCACGCAGCAGCTCCGCGGTTTACGTGGGAACTCACTTCCTGGAAGCAGCAGACTCGGGGAACCGGTGACCACACCAAGTCCGTGTGCACTTCTAGATATAACCTCTAGGTCTCCGAGCTCTAGTTAGAGTTACAGTGTTACAGAGACCACCCACAGCTTCTCCAGTGGGAAAGTTTGGGCCGCTACAGTCAGCTGGCAGAGCGACTGCAGGGAAGGAGACAAGTCAGAGAGTGCCGCCTAGTGTTACCCAGGACACCAAGGCTAGAAATGCTCAATTACGTGCACATCCCTTCATCTAACCTCGTCCAAGATTTGCCTTATCACTGTTGGCTGTGCATTAATAAAAACAATTCTGGGATCCAGCAGTTAGCGTAATGGCTATGTCACTGGACTCCCACGTAGTCGACCGCTGTTCGCGTCCCGGACCCAGTAGCTTAAAACTCACGCCGGGCGCGTGTGCGTGTGTGCCCAAGATCCCGAGAGAAGAATGGAGAAGGGATTGCGGCGTGGCCATCCCCCCTGGGGGGTGATTTCTCGCTTTCTGTCTCTATGTCTCTCTCTGTCTGGCGAGCGCACACGCCCTATAGCGAAAACCTCTCAAAAAAATAAAAATAAAAATAAAAAACAATTCTGGGTCAGGCAGGTGGCACGGTGATTAAGGCACTGGATCTCACATGGCTGACTGCACATTTTGAGTCCTGATTCCGAAGGCTTGAAAAAACACATGGGGCGGGACCAGCACATGGCATAATGGTTATATCACTGGACTCCCATGTAAGTTTGTCCGTGGTTCGAGACCCAGACTCAGCAGCTTAATAAAAGACTCACGCTGGACGCATGTGTGTGCATACCCATCCCCCTGGGGAAGTAATTTCTTGTTTTCTGTCTGTCACTCTCTCTCTGAATGATGAGCACACGGGCCTTACAGTAAAAATCTCTCTGAAAAGGAAAACACATGGCTCGCGTGTGTGGGAGGAGAATGGCGAAGGGGTTGCGATGTGGCCACTCCCCTTTGCAGGGGGTGTTGCTTTCTTACTTTCGCTCTCTGTTTCTCTCCACCAAGTGAACGCGCCATATGGGCAAAAAACAAACAAAAGCACCAAAACACACATACCCACACATAAATACCACAGAGAACCCTATCCATCTATTTTCTCCCCTGAGAGAGAGACGGAGAGCCAAGGAGGAGGGAGGACCGAGTGTGCTTCAGCAGCCGCCCAGCCATTGGTGATCAGAGGACTGCACGTGTGCCCAGTCACTGGGGATCACAGGACTGCACGTGTGCCCAGCCACTGGGGATCACAGGACTGCACGTGTGCCCAGCCACTGGGGATCAAAGGACTGCACGTGTACCCAGCCATCGGCGATCACAGGACTGCACATGTGCCCAGCCACTGAGGATCACAGGACTGCACATGTGCCCAGCCACTGGGGATCAGAGGACTGCACGTGTGTCCAGCCACTGGGGCTGAGAGGACTGCACGTGTGCCCAGTCATCGGGGATCACAGGACTGCACGTGTGCCCAGCCACTGGGATCACAGGACTGCACGTGTGCCCAGCCATTGGGGATCACAGGACTACACGTGTGCCTAGCATGTCCCAGGAGACCCAGGAGAGCCTGGGACCACCCATGGGGGTGCATATTGCAGCGCGTTGTCTTAGCCCACATCCTCATTTCTGGCCTCATTCCTTGGCTCTCACTGAGACACCTTCTCAGTACCCAGGACCTATGCTCACAAATCTCTGTCTTCCTCTAATTCGGGGCCCTGTCCTCCTCTGACAGTTCCTACAGAATTTTTTTTTTTCTTAAAGAATTATTTTATTTAACTTTATTTATTTATTTACTTATTTTTCAAATTTGACCAGAGAGGGACGGAGAGAGAGAGAGAGCGAGGAAGCCACCAGGTCCAGGACTGGAACTGCGACCAGCCTTGTGGGAGTCCAGCGCCCTAACTACCATTCTGCCTGCTGGCCCCCCACAGACATTTAGAGCCCATTGATGGTCTATATTCAATAGCTCTAGCCTGACAAGAATGCGATGCCACACAGATGAACAAGACCTCTGATCTCCCTTCTGGAAGGACTCCCGTGCCATGGCAGACAGGCGTGGCAGACGCAGGCCGGACACTGCCACGACTGCTCCCCCTTGTTCGCCAGCTTTACCTGCTCGAGAACGCACAGTACACTATGTGCTCTGACACTTAAGAAAACAGTTTAAAAAAGTTTAAACACAGAAGCTTATTTAAACACTAGAAAGGCCTTGAAAATGAGGAAGCTTTAAAAAGCTATGATTTTAATGCAGTATTTTTGGTTTTCAAATGTAGACCCAACTTAATGTGAAAATGCCGCCTCTTTCTGTCTTCGTACTTTACTGGAGAAACGAAACAAACACGGGGCCGGCAAGTGGCGTGGTGGTAAAGGCTTGGGACCCCACAGGCTGGCCGTGGTCTGAGTCCCAACCCGGCAGCCTGGAAATCACACCAGGCACATATGAGTGTGGGCATGCCCAAAATCCAAGGAGACTGGAGGAGAAGGGATTGAGGCATGGCCACCCCCACTTGGATGGGGTGGGGGGTGACTTCCCACTTTCCATCTCTCTGTCTTCTTTTTTTTCTTTTTGAGAGGTTTTCGCTATAGGGCACGTGCGCTTGCCAGACAGACAAAGAGACAGAAAGCGAGAAATCACCCCCTAGGGGGGATGGCCACACTACAATCCCTTCTCCTCCATTCTCCTCTCGAGATCTTCGGCATGCACGCACACGTGCCCGGCGTGAGTTTAAGCCACCGTATCCGGGATGCGAACCGTGGTCGACTACATGGGAGTCCAGCAACATAGCCATTATACCAACTGCTGGTCCCCATCTCTCTGTCTTCTCTCCATCTCTCTCTAGTGAGCGCACACACCCTATGGTAAAAAAGAAAAAAAAAAAAACACAAAAAACAAACACCAAACACATATCCCCCAAAACAAAAAGAATTTCCATCAACACCAGGCCCTACCATTGACCACACCTCTCTTGCCTTCAGACGCCCTGGCAGTCCCTCTCGGGACTCTGGGGAGCATCTGAGCAGCTCTGTGGCATCTCCGAGCCTGTCCTCCCCTCAGAGTCACCGCCACCGCCACCACTACCCTGTCTTTCAATCACAACACTAGGACACATTTTACTCCAAAAGTGAAAATATAAGAAACTATTATTCTTACTCAGCCCTGGCACTGGATAGAAAGTGGTGGGATATGGAGGACCTACTGACTGCTGCGTGAAGCAGGTCAGGCTATGGAAGAAAGGTATTGCTTGTACCCCCTTAGTATATACCGACTACCCACACTCTGTGGTAGAGAGCGAAATACTGGAGAACATAAAAGCCGTGGGGTGGTTAACGATGATGAGACCGAGTGGAACACGGCGGGAGAAGGGAAGGGTATGGGGAAGGACGGCAAGAGAGCAGATAGAGAGGCCTGGCATTAGTGGACACTCATGGCTTATTACCCGTTGGTGATGACGTGTACAGTATTCTCAACCGGACTGGGCTGAGAAGTATTTCATGTTGGGTAAAGTCTTTACAAGCAAAATGAGAAATAGTGATTGACTTAAACATAGTTGGAATAATAATGATGATGATCGGGAAAATAATGAAAAGCTATTGGATGATGAAGTGGGGATTTTAATGTCTCTGCATAGACTGATATAAATGGTATTCCTTCTGGAGAAAGAAATGTAAAACACTGTAAAGTTATATGTGATTCAATGTAATATAAACAAGATTATGATGATAACAAATACATTAAAAAAAGAAACTATTCTTCTCTGTATGGTTAAAAGACATCATTCAACTTTGGAGAACTTCATTACTTCACAGATACTTGAATTGACATGCTTTTCAGAAACCAAAATCTCTTGACGGCTATCAACTCACGAATCCCACGCAGTCTAAAAGACTGAACTGTGAGGGAAGTCCGTGAGATGACTGGCTTCAGGAGCTGTCATTCTGAAATGAATGGGGACTCTGAAATGAACCACGGGGAACTCCCCCGCAGGCCTTCTAGAGCCCTAACTCCCACGAGGGCTATCAAAAGGTACAGCCCACACACCGACACACAGCAAGGCCCAGAGCTGGCACAGAGGCTTCCAGCCAGGGCATGCCTGTCCCTCGTGGCACCCTGAAGTCCGGAGGATTTCCACAAACGCTGGCTTAAATGAGGCTACAAATTTTGTCTGTTTTACATGTGGGGAACCAGAGGCTCAGGGAGGGAAAATGACTGGGGTAAGGTCTGTAACTGGTAAGCCACATAGACTAAACTGAGATCTGCCTTTTCAGCATAAAATTCTCGTCTCTTTCCACTTTACTGTTTTACTATCAGAATGATTTCCCCCAAGAAAGCCTTGCAAAGAAAACGGAAATGAAATTCATGGATGGTGTCAAGTTCTCTTTTCTTCTGCTATTTAAATGGTTTATACATTCTATAAATAGGAGTCTCTAAAAATCTAAGTAACGTGTCTTAAGTGATTAAATTTAAAAGGATTACATAATAACATGGTTTAAAGAGAAAAGCTTGCATTTTTGTTTTAAATTCCAAAATGTTACTATATAAAGAGAAAAAAATTCCTGGCAAAGTATTTATTATAGTGAGAACTTGCAAAGGCTACTGTAAGAAAAATTTTAATTAGCCATCACATTCACTGGATACGAATGTGTGCACAAGATTTATTCGAAGTGTGTAGAA